TAGGCCTATGCGCGTTTTTATTTTTAATTCTTTTCATTGTTCGATCTCACCTTCTCCTCTCTCTCTCTCTCTCTCTCTCTCTCTTTTTTCGAGTGATTCGTCCTTACGCCGGATGACAAAATGACAAAGGGAGAGTAGAGTCGCCCTCAGGCTTGCGATATTACCGTTTCCGTTTCGGAACTACTGCGAATACACGCATATATATATATATACACACACACATATATACACACTCACCTCGTCTCGGTCCAACCCCCTCTCTCAACCTTACACCCTTTTTTTTTTTACGAGCCTTTCCCGCGTGCACACCAGTACCCGAAAACCGTCTCGTGATTGATTATGCTCGGTGTACTTTTGGCTGGTACCGGTCCTCAAGCTAAAGCGCGATTGATCGAACGAAAGAAACCTGAACCTTCGTTTGAGAAAAATATATGGATATAACTTGAGAAATAAAAAGGGTGACAGAGGGAAAGGGAAAAGGGAAAGAGATTGCGAGATCATTTGCAAGAATTTTCTATACCGGTCTGCTGAAAATTCTTATTTAATCGTTTCATTAATTCGAATCTTATATATCGAGTATACATGAGTTAAATATATAATATATCTATGATATTAAAACACTTTAACGACCGCACGACTACGCAGTCAAACGTCGCAAGGGTTGCGTCAGTATTTTTGAAGAATTCATTTTAAAGAACTTTATTAAATTCACGACAAAAATTAACGTAAAACAAAAAAGCAACAGAAATTTAATATTTTTCAATATAAATTATAAACAAATTAAATATTTTTCCTTTTTTTACACCAACGTCGACCGCCGATATTTGTTTCACAATTTACATGATACACAACCGTAGTTTAATCAAAAATGAAAAATAGGTAATAATTACCTATAATCAAAGACGTGACAATGAAATAGGAAGCCAATAGCAATATATACACTTGTTTACATTCATAAATTATCACACAAAGAGTGTGGTACTGGTCAAAAACCTTAGGCGGTAGCATCACACATATGTTGTGCGAGCGGTCAGTAACGGTTGTTCCGGCTATCACACACATGTTGTGTGAACGGTCGTTAAAATGTTAAAAAGAATGAAGCATCTTAAATGTCATCTATTGTAATCAATTAATATTATTTGAATCGTTCGCGTAGGAAGTCGAATAATAATTTACGATAAAGATTTTTTAAATGTCATTCGTAATGAAAAGAAATTTCTAAAACACAGTCCGTGGTTAAGAAAAGACATGACACAGATAGCAAATAAAAAAAAGAAGAAGTGTCTCGTAAAAACGATGAAAAAGAACAAAAAAATGAATAAGGGTAGAAAAAAGATGAAGTGGGTAAAATGAAAGGGCGTTAAAGAAAAGGACAGGTGGTGGTGGTGGTGGTTATTTGCTTAAATGCCACCTATAATTGGGTGTAAAAGTGGTTCCTTTTTCTTTTTTACTTTCTCTCCTTGTTTACCATGAAGAAGAATAATGATAATAAAATGAGAGAAAGGATGAAGGACAAGAGAGTAGGGAAGGGTAGAGAAGAGAACGTACCTTTCTCTCCCTTTTCTTGAACCCCTCTAAACATCTCCTACCTATAAGGTCGAGTTTTCTAGCCCTTTTCCGCGTACTGGCAGCCACCTGATGGTTGGTGGTGCTGTTCACTGTTCACTGTTGGATGTTCGCTGTTAGGTACTGGTTTCCTAGGTTCCTAGCTTCCTAGCTTGCTTGCTGGCTGGCTGGCTGGCTCACAAGGGCCCGCAGGGAATGAGATGCAGATTGCCAGAGGCCACTTCACCCGCTGGAGGGAGTGAATTTTTAATAACACCGAGACCGTACCTGCGGCTTCTCGCGTTCCTCTATGTAGAATCCCATTGTCTTCTTCTCTTGCCCACTCTCTTTTCCTTTCTTTCTATCTTTCTTTCTTTCTTTATTTCTCTTTTACCCATCGCGTCCGTACGCGCTGCTCACCAACCGAGAAAAAAAAGAAAAAAAAGGACAAAACGAATAGGATGCGTAACGGAACCCGGTACGGTGTTATTATAACGCGCCAACATGTTGAAAAAGGGAGAGTGAGAGGGAATGAGGTGGATTGGTAGAATGGGAGGAAAAAGAATTGTCAACGACAAGACACTCTCTTCGCACAGTTCTTCTTACAAAACGGTTTTTCCTCTGATTTTTTTCCTTTTTTTCTCTCTCTCTCTCTTTACTTTCTTTTAACGAAACTTAGAATATACGAGAAATTAGTATGACAGAATGAGGGAAATGTGTAATACGAGATATTGACAATTAATTTTATATTCTTGAACATACAGTAGAGGGACAAAAGTATTCGAATAATCGCATAGATTCTTGTTTAACCAGTTAACTGTGTCGATCATTTTGCAAAGTGCGCCCTAGTGTGTGTCGCGATAATCAAACAGATGACGGATATAGTCGTCAAACACAGAGTAAGTGGCGCTGTTGAAATATTCGGTCAAAAAGACGACTTTATTTTAGAAAATGAATGAATTTATAAGTAATATTTAAACAATGGATCAGCGTAAAGCTATATTTACACATAATTAACGAAAAAACTTAAAAAAAAATCAAATATTTAACAAACAAACAAAATTTTTTCTTTTTTTTTCTTTGGTTAGACATCGCGGACATCATCGCAGATGGAGAATCTAATATACTTTGTTTTTTTGGTTATGACACGTCAWGATDAWAATCGGGWTAATCAAAGATCTAGTGTCCAACTCAAATTATCTATAATTCAGTATCTTCTCTCATCCAAAATTATAGTTTTTGATAATATAGGTTCATAGGGAACTTGGACATGAAAA